CCCACCTGGGGCCGCGAGTGGGCGCCGGCGGGCGGCGGCCGGGGCGCTGTGCGCACCCTCTTCCTCCTGGGCACGGCCTCCAAGCTGGAGGAGCGCGCCCACTACCAGCAGCTGCTGGCCTACGAGGACCGCATCTACGGCGACATCCTGCAGTGGGACTTCCTCGACAGCTTCTTCAACCTGACCCTCAAGGAGATCCACTTCCTCAAGTGGCTTGACATCTACTGCCCCAATGTCCCCTTCATCTTCAAAGGGGACGACGACGTGTTCGTCAACCCCACTAACCTGCTGGAGTTTCTTGCCGACCGGCGGCCTCAGGAGAACCTGTTCGTGGGCGATGTCCTGCATCATGCCCGGCCCATCCGCCGCAAGGACAACAAGTACTATATCCCCGGGGCCCTGTACAGCAAGGCCAGCTACCCGCCCTACGCCGGTGGGGGCGGCTTCCTCATGGCCGGCGGCCTGGCCCGGCGCCTGCGCCACGCCTGCGACACCCTGGAGCTGTACCCCATCGACGATGTCTTCCTGGGCATGTGCTTGGAGGTGCTGGGCGTGCAGCCCACGGCCCACGAGGGCTTCAAGACGTTCGGCATCTCTCGGAACCGCAACAGCCGCATGAACAAGGAGCCCTGCTTCTTCCGCTCCATGCTGGTGGTGCACAAGCTGCTGCCTGCCGAGCTGCTGGGCATGTGGGAGCTGGTGCACAGCAACCTCACCTGCTCGCGCCGGCTGCAGGTGCTCTGAGCCCGCCGGCCGGGCGCCCGGGAGCTCCCGCGGTATTAGGACTGAAGCGGCGCCGCCGGCCGGGGCTTTGGTCCTCGGCTGCAGGGAGCAGGAGGGCTGGGTCCCTGTGTGTCACTGGATGTGGTAGGTGCCGTTCCCTGGGCGGGAGACACCCCAACACAGCTGGAGCTGCCTGGACTGGAAGCCGCCTGAGGAGCGAGGACGATGCTGCTACTTACCTCCTCACCTGAGTCCATTTCCTGGTGGCCTCTGACCCGGGGCCCTGGTGGCCTCTGACGGAATCCCGTGCTCAGGTACCTGGGCTCGGCCTGGCCCTATGGGGCTGTGGCTGTCCTCTTATCTTCACAGGAAAAGCCTGCTGTGATGTGCCTCAGTTTCCCCTGGGGCCAAGCAGCCCTCCAGAAGCTCAACCTTGTGCAGGCTCACAGGTCTTCCCGGGCCTTCTGGGAGAGGGAGCCATGCCCCGAGGCCTGCCTGGAGGCGGCTGCTCAGTCTCTGCTCCCAGGAGGCCTCTCCACTGGCTGTGTCCTCGTATCCGAAGCGCCACTGGCTGCCCTGTCTACCTCAGTGCCCCTCAGAACCTCGGTGCGGGCTGCAGCCCCCCCAGTCCCAGCACAGGCAAGGGAGCAGTGCTCCTGGCCCCGCCATCCGGTGCTGCCTGACACCAGCCCAGCCGAGGCGCCTCCCGCAGCCCCACCGAGGCTGGCTCCTGGCCGGGACCAGCAGTTTGGCCCTGGAAGCGGACGTTCCTCTATTACTGTGAAGTTTATTTATGAAGAATTCAGAGAGAGAAGGCTGCGGGCCTCAGGAGGTGTCGGTGGTCCCCTGTCCCCTGACCCTCCTCCCTCATCCATGCATCCCCACACCCTCACTCCCCTCCCAGAGCCTGCCCCAGCCGCACCCCTGCTTCCCATGCCTGAGCAGACCAGCATTTGCCCCTGGGAGGGAGGGCCAGCCGTGCTGATGGACGAGCCTCCTCCTCCAAGCAGGCCATTATAAAGTGGAGCAATCCACTCTATTTTCTCAATAAAACGGGACTGGTTTTCTCCGGTGTGACACTCCCTGCCACCAGCTCCATTCCGGGGCTAAGGTAGCCGGGAGATTTCCGCAGATATGCCTGTTCCTCCTCATTCTTGCTGGGGGTGCACGGTGACCCCTGAAGTGCCGTAGAAGAAGGTGGGGACAGGAGTGACCTGTGAGCTCACAGAGCCCTGGCACTTCCCGTGTTGTGGGTGGGGACAGCGGGGCTCCAACTCAGTGTGGGCTCCTGCCACAGGCGAGGCGAGGCGAGGTGGCAGGCCACGGGCTGAGATATGCCTGTTCCTCCTCATTCTTGCTGGGGGTGCACGGTGACCCCTGAAGTGCCGTAGAAGAAGGTGGGGACAGGAGTGACCTGTGAGCTCACAGAGCCCTGGCACTTCCCGTGTTGTGGGTGGGGACAGCGGGGCTCCAACTCAGTGTGGGCTCCTGCCACAGGCGAGGCGAGGCGAGGTGGCAGGCCACGGGCTGGCGGGGCATGATGCCCTGCCAGTCAACCTGGAAGCCCCCAGGGCTGGGTGGAGGTGACCACCCTGTGCCGGCACCTGACCCAAGATCCTGGGCAGCCACTGTACCTGGAGAAGCATGTTGGGCAGTTGTAGTGAAGAAGCCAGCACCCCCACCTGCACCCAGCTTGGGGGCACCGCAGAGGGGCAGGTGGGTGTCCATCAGGATCCAGCTGCCCAGGTCCAAGCCCTCAGGAAGGGAGGGGGTGCTCGCTTCCGCCCCTCCCCCCTGGTCAGCCAGCTGTAGGTTTGCAGAGCCCCGTGCTGAGTGAAGACGCAGGGCGTGGGTTCTAAACGTCCGGAAGAACTACAAGACTGACAGTGGCACCAAGGCCGATGCGGGCCCCCAGACGGGCGCCAGGCCCTTGTTGGCTCATCCCTCTCTGGCAGGAGCACGGCCCTGCCGAGGGCTGCCGGACACAGGATGACTGGAACTTCTGTCTTCCCAGAACTCCCAGTCCCTTGAGGGAGAGAGCCGGGAGAGGCGGGAGGGCAGAGCATGCCCCCTGAGCAGAAAGGGGCTTCTGCAGTCCGGCCAGAGCTGGGGTGAGAAGGGAAGGGAGGCTGGGGGGCAGGCAGGGCCATCTTGGGCCTTCTGGGTTGAGGAGGGTATCTAGTTTTATCCCCAGGGCAGGGTCCAAGGGACGTGTGTGGACAGTCGAGGGAGCGAGGAGGCCAGCCGGGCCCTGCCCCTCCCTCAGACCCATGCTGGCATCTCTGACTGGGCCCCATGGGCAGGAGCGCTAGAGGTAGCTGGTTCCCACCGTGGGGCCATGAGGCCAAGGCCAACCCCAGTGCTCTTCCTTGGGCAGCCTCTGCCCTGCCCAGCACAGCGGCGGGCAGGCCCCAGCCCTCGCAGCAGTGTGTCTTTGTCCACTGCCTGTGGTGGAGGGGACACGTGTCCAGGCTGGGGACACGTGCAGTAGGCCAGAGTGCAACATCAGGGCCTCAGAGTGAGCAGCCCCACCACCCGTGGGGACAGAGTTGGAGATGGAAGGGGCGGCGAGGATGCCCTGGTGAGAAATGGACACCTTGAGAAGAGTGAGGGGCCACCACAGCCTTCAGAGCAGGGCAGAAACTAGATGGAATGGAACCTTCAAAACATGTCTGCCCCCAGCCTCCATCTGTGGCTTTTGGGGGCCCTCTGCCAGCCCCTGGCCCAGCCCTGCACAAAGCTGATCTAAGTCTGCTCAGTCAGCCCACAAAGGTCATTCCAGAAAATCTTTATGGTCTTGCTTCCTTTAATAATGAAAACACTTTCCATTTTCTGGCGCGCACCTGTTAAGCCCAGCCCCATAGTCAGCACTGTGTCATCAGTATGGAGTTCACCCAGGGAACAAATGAGGTTACGCTGAACCTTTCTCACTGATGGCTTGAGTCCCTTGTGTACCCCTTCTTGGCAGAAAACCCAGCATCACTCTCTTGGAGCCTACTCCCAAAGAATCCAAAACCTTAGGGATGTCCTGAGCCCCAGTGTTCTCTGAGAAGTCTGAGCAGTCATCTCCAGCTATTCCCCCTCACACCACACAGTGGCGCTGTCGAACACGGGGCCTGCACAGCTCTGTGGCTTCTCCGCCATGACCTTGGTGCCAGGCTTCAGGGGAGCCCGTTGCAATCACACCACTGTCCTCTTCACTGTCCTCTTCACCCTCACCAGCTCAGCCTCCCTCAGAGGGCAGCATGCGGCCGGTGGTACTCCTATGCCCTTCACTCAGCTATGCAGCTGGCTACTAGCGGAACCTCCAGCTCCCGGG